GAGGTTCTGGGGGGCTTCTGAGGGGGAGCTTGATGCCTTGGTGACAGTTGGGTGTGTTCTGAGGGGTGGGGGGGGACAACAGGATGGACAGGGGGACACATCCCCCATGGCAGCCAGTGGCCCCCACCAACCTGGGAGGGGTCCATGCCAGTCTAAGGGGGGTTCATGCCCAGCTGGGAGACCCCCGAGCCCCCCACCACTTCATTCTTGGGGGCTTTAACGCAGCGGCTCTTCCTCTTGGGTACCCCCAAAGCGCATCTTGGGGCCCTCTCAGGGTGTGCAGTGGGATTTTGGCTGGGAGGGGGGTGGGGGGGAGTCTCCTGGTGAGGGGTGAGGTGCCATCATGCCCCCCTGACCCCTGCCAGCCCCCCCCGTGTCCCGTGCTATGAGCGTTCGCCGTGACTTCTCCGCGAGCAGCTGCAAATGAAAATGGAGGATATGTCTTTGTCTGGCCTGGATAACAGCAAACTGGAGGTGAGCTGCCCACTCCCCGGGGGTCTGTGTGTCCCCTGGGGTGTCACTCTGTCCCCCCCCCATCACTAACAGCCCCCCATCTGGCCCCCCCAGGCCATTGCACACGAGATCTACACGGAGTTGGTGGAAGATGCCTGCCTGGGGCTCTGCTTCGAGGTGCACCGGGCTGTCAAGTGTGGGTACTTCTTCCTGGATGACACAGACCCCGACAGCATGAAGGACTTTGGTGAGCCCCCTAAATTCCCCCTGGGTTTGAGGTGACACTGGTGACAAGAACACAGCCAGCCCTCTGCTCCCAATGCCACTGGAAAGGCCGTGGGGGAATTGGTGGTCTCCAGGCACAGGGGGTTGGGTTTAAGGGGTGTTGAGGGGGATTAAACACCCGAATGTCCCCCTGGCAGTGACCAAACTGTCCCAGAGGGGTAAATGTGGGGTGAACTGAACCCCAAAACATGGTGCTGGGCCCTGAGGGGGGCACAGCTGTGGTGGGAGGGGAGTGAAGACCTCCCCTGACTATGTTGCTGCTGGTCTCAGTCCCCCCAGAAGCTGCCTTGAGGCTCTTGGGGAGCATCTGGTAGCCCAAAGGATCCCCCTCAGAGCAGAAGAGATGTCTCGGGAGGGTCTGGCAGCCCAAAGGAAGGGTCTGGCAGCCCAAAGCTTCCCCTTAGAGCAGAGCAGGGATCTCAGGGCAGGGTCTGAGCATGTGTGTCCTCCCACCCCGCAGAGATCGTGGACCAGCCGGGCGTGGACATCTTCGGGCAGGTGTACAACCAGTGGAAGAACAAGGAGTGCGTGTGCCCCAACTGCAGCCGCAGCATCGCCGCCTCCCGCTTCGCCCCCCACCTGGAGAAGTGCCTGGGCATGGGCCGCAACAGCAGCCGCATCGCCAACCGCAGGTGGGCACCACCCCACCCCACAGGGAGAACAAACTGCAGATCCTGGGTCCCCTGTCCCACCCTGCTCTCGCTGAGGGGTCCCTCTCTGCATCTGGGGGTGCCAGGGGGAGGTGGGAAGTGCAGGATGGATCCTGGGGAGCCAGGGACGGTGCAGGGCGGATGGGAGGGCACGGGACAGATCCTGGGGCTCCATGGAGGGTCCATGGGACAGGTCCTGACCATGACCCCCCTCCCCTCCCCGCACAGGATCGCGAGCAGCAACAACCTGAACAAGTCGGAGAGTGACCAGGAGGACAACGATGACATCAACGACAACGACTGGTCCTACGGCTCTGAGAAGAAAGGTGAGGGGTCCCTGGTTCCCTCAGGGGTGGGGGATGTGTCCTGCCTGCCCCGTGGCCCTTGAACCCAGCCCTGGGTGGGTGTGGGGGGTTCTCAAGACCCTGGGCTTGCAAATCCACCAGAAAAGGTCAAATCTGTCTGTTCTCTGTCTCTCCCCGTAGCAAAGAAGAGGAAATCGGATAAGGTGAGGGGGCAGGGGGTGCTGGGAGGTGGGGGGGGGCCATGGGGGGGACACAGGACACCCCCCAACACCCCCCTCTTGTTGCAGAACCCCAACTCGCCCCGCAGGTCCAAGTCCCTGAAACACAAAAATGGTGAGGGGGTGGGGCTTGCACTGCTGGGGGTGGAGCTTGCACTACTGGGGGTGGAGCTTGCACTACTGGGGGTGGGGCTTATACATTGGGGAGGGGCTTACACTGCCTGGGATGGGGCATCTGTGGGGGCAGAGAGTTGCAGGAGGGCTTGGGGTAGGAGCAGGGTTTTGGGGTGGAGGGGGCGTTTGGGTGGGACGGATGTGAATGAGGGTGGAGTATTTTGGATGGGTGGGGCATAAAGTGGGGCAGGTATTTGGAGTGGGTGGGGCTTGTGGGGAGGTGGGGCTCTCAGTATGGTGGCAGTGGGAGGGGGCACTGGGGGTCCTGTGGGGGGCCAGGCCGCAGGCAGGACCCCCCCTCATCCCCCCTCACCCCTCCTCTCTCGCAGGCGAGATCGGCGGGAACCCCGATCCCTTCAAGGTGAGCCCAGGAGAAACAGCACCTGATCCCTCCTCTGCACCCCCAGGGGGGGTCTTGTTGCCCCCTTGGGAGGGTCCCCTCTGTTCCCCCCCAAGCCCTGACCCCGCTCTCTGCCCCCCCAGTACAGCAACTCGGCAGGAATCAACTATGAGACGCTGGGCCCCGAGGAACTGCGGACACTGCTCACCACGGTGTGGGACTGGGGGGCATTGGGGGGCTCAAGAGGGACCCTATCCCTGGCCAGACAGGGGGCATGGGGGCTGGGACCCCTGGGATCTTACCCAGCTCAGCTCCATCTCACTGGTGCTGGTTAGAGGCTGGGAGCAGGGATGTGCAGTGGGTCTGATCCTGGGGGATGTGGTGGCTGCTCTCTCTGTGGGGATGGGACAGCACTGGGAAGTTGGGAGGTCCCTGGGATTGGGGTCCCCAGGGCTGTGATGGTAGAGCACAGCCCAGGGATCACTCACCTGTCCCCCCTCTCGCCTGTCCCTTCCCTCCCCAGCAATGCGGGGTCATCTCCGAGCACACCAAGAAGATGTGCACCAGGTGAGAGCATCCCGGGATGGCATCCCTGCAGGGCTCTGGGGGGGCTTCGTGGGGATCCCCAACGTGCCTGGATCCCCACAGGATGGGGGGGAACATCTGGCTGAGCCCTGTGTGCCATCCCCCAGGTCCCTGCGGTGTCCCCAGCACACGGATGAGCAGCGCAGGGCGGTCCGGGTTTACCTCCTCGGTCCCTCCGCGTAAGTGGATGCAGCCTTGGGGGTCCCCAAGGTCCTGGGGTGACTGTCCTGTGTGACAGGGACTTGGAGGGGGGGCTGCACGGGTTGCTCAGATGGGGCTGGGGACGGGGATACCCCTAGAAAGGCCGGGAGGGGACGGGAGCCTAGGGCTGGGGTTGGGATGTGCAGTGGTGGGGAGCTGGGACGAGCACGGGGCATCCCCCTGGCATTGGGAGGGGCTCTATCCCCCCATACCAAGGGCTGGGGACCCCCTGACACCTGTGCCCAGGTCCCTGCCCGAGGCAGAGGCCGGCGTGGAGAACGACAGCTTCGAGGTGGCCGAGAGCCAGGCCCTCATGAGCCGCCTGCAGTGGGACGGCTCCTCCGACATCTCCCCCTCCGACTCGGCCTCCTCCAAAGCCAGTGAGTGTTTGGGGGGCTGGGGGGAAAATCTGGGGGTGCAGACCTTTCCATGGGGCAAATCTGGGGGCAGACTCCCCTCTGAGTGGGAAATCCTGAGGGGGGGCAAATCCTGGGGCACAGAGCCTTTTGTGGGGCACGTTCGGGGGGACAGAAGCCTCTGAGGGACAAAACTTGGGGTACAGACCCCTCTGTGGGGGCAAAACTGGCTCTTCTGGTGTCACAAACAGACCATGGCTCCAAAACCTGGAGCATGTGGGACATCTCACCCACCGTCCCAGTGTGGGGGAAATGTTTTTGGGTACGTTGTCCTGGGTGTGGATTGGTGATGGGGGGGGAATCCTCTCTGTTTTGTGGGGGCCCATCTCCTCCCTGACACTCCCATTTCTTCCCTTTCTCGCCTTTCCCAGGTACAAACAACTCCGAGTCCCGCAAGACCAAGAAGAAGAAGCCCCACCTGGGCCTGGTGAGCGGCGCCCCAGGGCTCGGCTCCAGCAAGAAGAAGAAGCCCAAGCCCCCCGCCCCCCACACCCCCAGCATCTACGACGACATCAACTGAGCCCCCCAGAGCCTGGGGGGGGGGCCAGGATGGACAGACGGACGGCCACGGGCCAGGGCAGCCCCCCCAGAGCCCCCTGGTTTGGACACAAAGCGGGTACTTGGGGCACGGAGGACTCGGCCGTCGTTGGAGTGGGGCTGGATTTGGGGAGCCCCCACTAGTGCCCCCTTCCTCCCCCCCTGCCCCGGTGCCTCTATTTATTCTGTGACAGTTTTTGTACGTGGGGCTCCCGTCGGGGCGCTGAGGGGGCGCCTGGCTCGGACATGGGGGTACAACCACCCCCTTCCCCTCCCCGGTGCCCCCCAAACCCAGCTGTGCCCCCTCCCACACCCGCTCCTTGCTTACCCCAGCGGGGTGGGGGGCACCTGAACCCCCCCGGCAGGTCCAGGCCTGGGTGAGGGGGGTGTGAATCCCCTCTGCTGCAGGGTTTTGGGGTGAGCCCCCCACCCTGGGGCTGCCCCCCCGTCCCTGCCCCGGGCTGGCTCTCGCTGGTCGGGCTGGCTCAGGAGTGGGGGGCATGCTGGAGGTGGGGGTGTTTCCCACTCAGAGGACAAGTGGGGACCCCCTCACTCCCCTCATCTGTTCAGCTGTGTCTGGATTCAGCTGCTGGGGGCCTGGCAGTGCCCTCACAGGGGGGCTTTGGGGGGGCTGCATGCTGCATCCTTCATGTTTGGGGCTGTTTGTGGGGGGCTCTGGAGGTGGGGGGGTAGCTGCTGTGACTGTCCCTGCGCCAAACTGTGTGGGGAGGGGGGGCCCCAACCTGCCAGGGACAGCCTGGGGGGGCTGAGAGTGGAGCAAAATGGGGGGGGGTAGGCACAGCCCTGCTTCAAGGCAGAGCCCCCCCTGCCCCTCATATCCCCAGGGCAGCTCTGTTGTCCCACTCCCCGCATGCCCGGGGACCTGCTGCTGCAGTCAGGGGTGTCATTAGGGACCCCCCACCAGCTCTGGCTGGTGTTTGCACCCCCACAGGCTCTGCTTTTGGCTCGGGGAGGGGGGGGCCGGGACCAGCGCCCCGCTGTGCAGGCTGGGGGGGGGGACAGGTCCCTCTGGCTGGATCCAGGTCACCCCCAGCCCTGTGATATCCCCCCCATCCTGAGCTGTTCTCCATCACAGGGGTTGTGCCAGGGACAGGGTTGGCTCTGTCCCCTCCATTGTTCCCTGCCATGGCTGTCTGACCCTCCCCTTGGCCCTGTGTCCCTGGGGGGGCAGTTTGTCTGTCCCCCCACCCCAGTGCCGTGGCTCATCCTCTCGGTGGGGCTCACAAATTATGGTGCTCTCGACTCTGGATTCACTATTGTTTTCAAACTGCTGCTAAAGGCTGGGCTGGGGGGGTCCCACAGAGCCCTGGGCACCCCAAAACGCTGCGGGGGGCCCCTCCTCACTGCATGGGGACCCCCGTGTGGCCCCTCCCGGTGTGGCTTTGGGGCTGGGGGGGCCTGGCCACCGGAGCACACCGAGCTGGCCTTAGTGTGCCCCGGGGCCTGAGGATGGGGGTGTGGGCACCCAAAAACACAGGGGGTCACCCTGACCCCCTCCCCAGCTGCCTGGGGAGGGCACAGCGTGCTGGGGGCTCGTGTAGGGGGGAAAAGCTTGAGCCCCTCCGGCTGTGGGAGAGGCGCCGCAAATTTGGGGTCCAAGGGATGTATTTGGGCTTGGTTGGGGGGGGTGGATGTGCCCTGTGACCCCCCCAGGTCAGTGTCCTCACCCCCCACTCCCCAGTGTTTCTGCGTGTCCCCCCTCCCTGGGGGGAGCTGAGCCCTTGTGAGGTCTGTATGTCCTGTGAGTGGGTTGTGGCTGCCCCTGTAAATAAAACTGCATCTTGACTTGGTATCCCTGACATTAATTACGGCTGGTTAATTAAGCAAGGCTGTTACTCCCCTCTCCCCCACGACTCCATTTACCTCGTGTGGGGCTGGATTTGTTTTTATAACCCCCCCTCAAAGCACAGGAGGGGAGAATAAGCAGCCCCAGAGTGGGAAGGTGAGTGCTGGGGTGACTTGACACCCTTTATTTGCTTTAAAAAGTCCTTGGGAAAAAGCCACAGCCTGTTCCAGTGCTGTCCCACTCCCCCAGAGCTGGGATTGGGAATGGGAAAGGGAGGAATGGAATTCTGAGGTGGGGCGGGGGGGGGCACAGCCCCTTTTGGGGGGGGATAAAGTCCGGCAGCGAGGGGACAGGGACACTCGGACCTCCCCAGCTCCGTCCTGCCTCATCCTGACTGTCCATACACCCCGAAGGCCAGGAAGGTGACCAGGACAGTGACCCCAATCAGGGACACGGTGGCCGGGGCGGTGAAGAGCTGCCGGTAGTTGACACGGAAATACCACCCGAGCGCCAGCACCACCATGACCGTGGGGACCATGAGGGTGCCCCCACCCAGGGGCAGCCCCGGGGCTGTGGGGACGGCAGGGACAGGGTCGGGCAGGGCGGGGGTGGCCGCGGTGGCCCCCCGGGAGCGATGGCAGTGGATGACACAGTTGTCCGTGATGCGGAGCGAGCGCAGCGTCCGCGCCTGGTCCTGCAGCAGCTGCCCGCGGTAGATGAGCTTCATCTGGCTCTCCTGACCCGGGAAGTATTTGCTGTGGGAGGAGGGCAGAGGTTGGAGGTGACAGAGAAGGGGTTTGTGGATACACCTGAGGTTGGTGGAAATGGGGAGG